ATGCCCTTGATGTGAGTGTTTCATTGAATTATTGCTTGACAATAAATGAAGATTGATTGGCCCTTTAATCACTTTCTGTTCTGCTAATTAATTTTCGTTGCTTTTGAAAGTATGAATTTTTTGAATTTCCACAAATTTACAGCGATGGACTTTTCTTGCTATGTATCTCCCTGTACTTGGCATGATAATAAAATTAAAAATAATACTAATATTGCCCAATCCGCTTGAAATAAGCTTTTTAAAAACTCATATTGGGTAGACGAGTAGCATCGGTGGCTTTCCTGTTGGGAAATTCACCTTCTGTCATTCTCATACCTCAGCATTCACATAATTTTTCTTTGATTTGCGCTGCTGCGTGGGGAATCCCTGGCATATGACCCTATAGACATTGCTGTTAATTACACCTCTTCATCGTCGGAGTAGCTTCCGACTATTGATATTACTCCTTCCCATACTTTCAAACCATTCAATATTCAAGACCAATCGATAGTCATATTTCTGTTGGGTTTTTCAGACTGAGTGATGGCCAACCATAGTGGAAAATACTTACAAAGAACCCAAAAGATCCCAGCAAGCACGCATTTTGACTAGATCATATCTCATTGAGCCTTGATAGACGAACGAAGTACACTTGATGAAGAGGAAGTTAATTGTAGGGAGTTTATCTTACTACCAGACACTGAGGACCTAGACACTACAGTGCTTTATTTGTAAATTGCATTTTTTTCAGAATGCGAGTTCCTCCCCTGATCTCCACTCCGGATGATGTCAAAACCCAGTTGGACCTACTCAAAGCCCTCGAAGACATTGAGGCAGCCTTCAGCGTTATCAAAACGAAGGGCAAAACTCTTGATATGCATCCAGCCGATAGGAATTACAGCAATCTCAAATGTAACATCGAACCCATACCCACCAGTCACAAAATGGAGAAAATCATTAAGGATTACGTTCGATTGACTCACGCTTCGACGCACAATAACTACAGTTTAGAGGTGCTGCAAACTTTCGAGCTGGCAAAGAATGGTGAAGCGGAGTCTTTCCAAGACTATGGAACGCGGTATGTGAGTGTGTGTGTGTGTGTGTGTGTGTGTTCAAATGATTGAGTTATTCCATTTTGATAGTATATCCACCTAATTGACCTAGCAATAAATTGTCTGCTGCTCGGAATAGCTAGTGCATGTCTATTAGGTTTAGTAATTGGGATGTGATGTATCATTAGAATATCTCATCTGCCAGTTGTGGGAGTTGGACGTGTGGGGTAAGAATTGAATGCGCCCGGAATATCTTGCTCTTCAATTTCGTGATGTCGTAATGCTCTTTCTTCATTGAATGGCTTCCAGATTTAGTAATAAAATTGACTAAGAGTGGGCAGGAGAACAGCACACCCCTCTCAAGTTTAAGTAGCAAATTTGTCTAAGCTATTCCATCTTGAAATGTACAAGATTAGAAGATTGATTTGTTTCATCATCAACTCTATTTTCATAATGTGGCAAATGATTTTTTATGTGATTTGTGGTTTCTTTCGTAGACGTCTTCTCTGGCATGGAAGTCGCATGACCAACTGGATGGGAATTCTGGGTCGTGGTTTGAAGATAGCTCCTCCAGAGGCACCTTGTACCGGTTATATGTTTGGCAAAGGTGTCTACTTTGCAGATTGTGCGTCCAAATCCGCCAACTATACCCATGCCCACATAAGTGACAATGTCGGGCTCATGGCTTTATGCGAAGTAAGCTAGCTTTTCCCCTGCTGCCACTAATTGTTGCATTTGAATCAGCCCACGTCATGTTGCACTCTTTGCAGGTTTCCTTGGGAGAAATAAACCCTCTTTTACACGCGGACTCCAATGCAAATAATCTTCCCAAGGGAAAGCATAGTGTTCAAGGCGTGGGTAGCAATGTGCCAGACAAGTCGACATGGATCACTTTGTGAGTTACTCGCACGAAGCTTAAGTACATTGATTCCAATGCCTATCTGATTTGAAATGTTCCTCCTTTAGGGATGATGGAGTGGTCGTCCCGTGTGGAAAGATGGTAGAATCGGATGTAAAGAATGCCTCCCTATATTACAATGAATTCATTGTCTATGATGTTCGACAAATTCGTTTGCGCTACTTGGTTCAAATGAAATTCAATTATAAATACTGATCCTTTATCACTCAACTTCATCCCCCCCCCTCCCCTCCCCACCCCACCCCTCACATTCTGACTGTGCTAACTTAGTATTTATGTAATTTTCCCGTTGTTCATGTTAATATTTATTTAATAAAGTTAATTTTTGTAATATTATTGAAAATTGTCTTTGTTATGAATCTGACGAAGTAATACTTTTGGCTGGAATCTTAGTTTTATGATGAGGACACTTCAACATTGGCATTATGGCAGCTATTTGGAGTTGAAAGTGTAGTCTGTTCCAACGTCGACATGAATAGAGCTTGTATCATGTATAATTCTTTCGTATGTCGTGCCCACTTTCTCTTTCCGATTCAGGGAAAACTGTCCACTTGGGAATACATTATTAGCCTCAGAAATTGATCTCCTAGTGATCCTTCATTATTCATTCATTTCAAATGACAGGCGTATTGATAGTTATCATTAGCCCTTTATCTGACTTCGGGCTTCACAGGGGTGAAGTTGTAAGAGACAGTCACAAAGGCGGAGAAAAGGTAGGATGAGTACTGTAGAAGTGGTAGAATATGGCATAGAGTGAGGTGATGGTAGTTTGAAGTGAGAAGTCAACTGCCAGTTAATAGACCTTTTTGCCGTATGAATATACGTTGCCCAGGTTGCACCACGAGGAGGTAAGTCTATCGCACACCCCATGGTCCCTCATTATAGAACTCTCAAGCTTATAAAAGTTAACAACTAAGTAGTTAAAAAGGTCATTTCTTTAGGTTACTGCTAATATTTTTACCTGTCCTTGTTGCTACCGGCCACGTAGTAGGCTTTCTTCTCTATGACTGCCCTATCTATATTTATGACTATTCAACGATCCAGCTTCTAGACTTGTTCNCCCCCCCCCCCCCCCCTCTCCTCCACCCCACCCCGTTTCCGCACTTCGACTTTACAACGGTGCCTCAACTACCCTCTGCCTTTGTTGAGCTCACTTACTCTCTTTGCTACTTTCCATCAAAGTCAAGCACTCTTCGAAGAAAAGGCTTAAAATTGCCAAAAAACAAATTAAATATTCATTTAAACTGACTTAGATCCAAGCTTATTAGTTTCTTTGAAACCATTAATTGACTATATATAGTCTTATAGATATTGGTAATCTGGATTTACCACTCCTATGGTAAAAATTTCTTGTGGAAGTATTAATTCATGTACAATTGATGATGGTTCCAAGTGGATTTTCTTCTTCATTTTATAATGTCGAGTAATACATGGGTAGAATTTTGAAAACTGGGAATAACATGTATTATAAGCCACTGTGTTAAAACTTTCAAGTAAATAAATAATATTTATTTATATCAAATGGCAGGCGTTTTGATAGTTATCATTAGCCCTTTAGTTGACAGCAAGCTTCACAGAGGGGAAGGCACGTCAAAGTGGAAAAATAGTCAAGAGGAGNCCTGGGCAACGTATACTCATACGGCAAAAAGTCTATTGACTGGCAGTTGACTTCTCACTTCAAACTACCATCACCCCACTGTATGCCATATTCGTCTACTTCCACAGTACTCACCTCACCTTTTTTCTACCTCTGAGTCTGTCTGTCTCTTTTACATCTTTGAAACACTCTTCTGTTCCCCCCCCCCTGACGAATTTTTCAATTTGATGTTCCTTCCCTCTGTGAAGCCTGAAAGCAAATGTTATCAGTTTATCCGAATTTTCCCTAATGAGTAAAATCCACACTGCCATGTTTTAGTATTCCAATTATTGGAAATAGCACCAATATCAATGAAGTAAGTTTTGCATTACGCCTCGTTAATCAGTCCATGACAAACAGTTATTGTAGGTAATAATTATTTATTTCAAATGGCAGGCGTTTTGATAGTTATCATTAGCCCTTTAGCGACAAAAGGGTCGAGATTGAAAGTTCCGAAAAGTTACAGAGGAAGATCATTCTCTGATTTCGTTAAAATTGAAGTAATCTTAACGTCTATTTGCAAAGAAGTGGAAAGCAGACATAGTTTCTCATATTTGTTTCGGGCAAAATTAAAAAAAGCTTTATTAATGCTGCATCGAACAAACCCAACTTTTCGTAATTCGTTCACTCGTGATCGTGATCCGAATTTAAAAGCAAGCTGAAATCAGTAATTAATAATTTACTACAAATCTTTCACAAGTATGAAGTTTCATTAGCCTACTCGATGCTGGCCAATTGGTCAGATTTAAGCTGTAATCTCTTTTCTAATTGGCTGTTGTAAGCAATGTTTCATTGTCCCATTGGATAGCTTAAATTTTGTGTTAATTAGGTCATGACCTGGTGTATTTAAGTGGGCCCTAGGTTATGACCTTTCAGTTTTGCGATAACATGAGCTCCGCTTCTGACAACGGTTCTGCGCATTTTCGGATTCAACAGATGTCCAGCAGTAAGTCTTCACCATTTTTTTCTTTTAAAACATGAGTTAAGATTAGCGCTGCCATTATTTAGTTTTGAGTTTAATTACGAAATGCAAGGCTTATTAGCATATTTACGAACGTGTAGATTAAGTCCAATTATACCTTCTTCAAACGGAGCAACAGAAAATGCCCTGAAGTTAGAGGTATCTCTCATCACGGTTTTGCGCGAAAGTGGAGATTAAATTCATCCAGTAGGAAATTAGCATAGTAAGGGTAGGGGGGGGNGGGGGGGTGGGACAGAAGAGTGTTTAAAGATGTAAAAGAGATCGTCATAAATGCGGAAAAGGGTGAGATGTGTACTGTGGAAGTAGTCGAATATGACATACAGTGGGGTGATGGCATTTTGAAGTAAGAAGTCGACTGCCAGTTAATAGACTTTTTGCCGTATGAGTATACGTTGCCCAGGTTGCACCACGTGGAGGTAAGTCTATCGCACATCCCACATACATAATATCAACACCAGTAGATAGATTCCACCTAGAAATGGTACCCTAAGGCGCTTGGTTTTCAGCAATGAACCAAGTTACAGCGCGTTATAACACCCTTAGTGTATTAACAAAAATGATGGGGTAGTGGCGCAAAAATGACGTCAGCGATTTAAGCCATTGGTTGGTTAGCCTTGCATTGAGGCAAAATGGCATTAGCAACAACTGTAAGCAAAGAAAGTAGCTTAATTTATGGGAATAATGTACAACACTGCTTGTTAAAGCGCAAATAAGTCGATATATATATGAGTTAGTAATAAACTTTAAGGAAGATAGTTCGTGAACGTGAACAACAACATAGAATCTCGTGGGCAATTTTAAAATTCTATCACGAAATTCCTCGAATAAAAATAGATTTATTAGTCATCATTCCTCCTAAACCCTTATTGGATTTCTAAACAATTATTCTTATAAATGCCAAACAGTTTGAAGCCAAGTTAAAACATGTATGATTAATTTAAGATTTCAGGCTTTTGTTTTGCCGAACTGTGGATCCCTGATTTCCTGAGCAGTTTATGAATTTCTCGTACTCTGATACTAAGGTCAAGCCAAACTGACAACTCACTTAATGAATTTAGAGTGTCTTTTTTAAGCTTGTTAGAATAACAAGACAGTTATCCGGTCATAGAAACTAGGACAAAGAATGGAATACTACACTTCCAGTAAGGCGGAACAATTCGAGTTGACTGTTGTCCATTGGAAAATTATCATCGGAAAACAAGAGAGTGAGAAATTGTGGACAGAGGAGGAATAACCATATCGGTTGATGGAAGAGATAAGTGTATGCTTGAACGATAAAATCAATTTTACTGATTCACTTGGACAAACAGTCTCATTATTCGATGATAGTCAAAAAAATATTCACTTTAGGGAAGATAAAAATGAGAAATAAACGCCAGTGAAATAAAAATCAAACGTATAATTCGTTTCATTGAATAGTTGAGCGTTTTTAAAATGAGAGACTTACCTCCACGTGGTGCAACCTGGGCAACGTATACTCATACGGCAAAAAGTCAATCAACTGACAGTTGACTTCTGACTTCAAAATGCCATCACCCCACTGTATGTCATATTGCCCAACTTACACAGTACTCATCTTACCTTTTCTCTACCCTTGTGCCTCCTCTTTTATGTGCCTTCATATAATAGTAGCCGCATATTTATATTTCAAATTACAGTACTCACAAGTTATGAAAACATTGCACTCAGGTGTAGAGTGAGATAGAATTCGTTTTGATTAAATCAAATCTACGTTTAATATGTATATTATGCCGGAATAGTGACATTAGTGGGAAGACTAGACCAGTGTTTATGAACATTCACAATCCAAGTGTTTGGACATTCAAGTTGCATGCACATTTATGTACAATTAATTGCCGAATACCTTTTATTCTGATCCAACCCTTATGCAAACCAAAGTCTGGACCTTTACTATTGATAAATTTAGGGAAAAAGCATATAATGAAACATGGAGNAATGGGTTTATACGCCAAGGGGAATGACGGGTGCATAAATGTGAACTGAGTAAATCTCCCCACCACTACTGTGCGCACGCGTCTGTCCCATTTTAAGCTGCTCACCTATTGGCTAGCCGGAGAGTGAATGGCCGCACTCTTAAATAACACACGAAAGTTTTTATTCATTTACTCAACACTTGCCTCCTCACTTCCTATTTCACTATGCTTGCATCCGTTTGCTGGTCTCGTCTTCCAGATATGGATAACAATATGGATCAGGATGAGTTCACAATAAACTCATCTTCACCTAGTCATTCGCTCACCTTGTCTGTTCCTGAATCTGTGGAGAATACGTCTGCTTCCATCGCTAACTTAAAAACTGATCCACCTACCTGTTCCCAATGCGGGAAGCAATTTGCCAATATTTACCGTCTACAACGTCATCAGCTGAGTCACAGCGACGGTGAAGAGTTGAGAATACATCGCTGTACCCAGTGCAGCAGGGCCTTCAAATTCAAGCATCACTTGAAAGAGCACATTAGAATTCATACGGGGGAGAAGCCATTTGAATGCAAACATTGTGGGACACGATTCAGTCATTCGGGATCCTATTCTAGTCATATGTCAAGCAAGAAATGTACTTCACGGTCTACTAATTTCATTTCAGATGGGCAACCTTCTAATCCTTCCAATAACAATGGAAATTCAACGCTTTCAGCCTCGCGGCATCAAGGAACACGTTTTCCGATTGCACTCGAGAAAGAGAGCATTCCAATTTCTAACCCAGAGGGTAATTCCAGGATTTCTCAAGAACAAGTTAAACAACCTACAAATGACAGGGGACCAGACAACCAAAAATTGAATGTCATATTACAAAACAATCTTCCAGGGAGGAGAAAAACAGACGTCGGATCAACTCCCTTGGCAACATCTAATCAGAATGCACCTCTTGATTTGTCGATTTCCAGGAGGATATCATTTGAAGACTTGAATAAAATAGAGCCTTCTTCATCAACTCCTCAGTTAATTTCTGCATTTCCTCTTCTGTTACCTAGTCAAATTTCGCCCACAACCATAAGTTCGAATCCGCAGTCTCAAATGCTCTCCTCCATGGAAACAAGTCGGAATCAATCAAGAGAGCCTTTGCAAGAACAATCACAATCACTTTTTCAAAATACCCTTCTTTCGAACTATCAACAGTATTTGAACCGGATAACAACATTAATGGCCAATCAAAGTCAAACTCCAATTGCTCCATCACTTCCACTCTCAACCTCACCGTTTACCTTTCTACTTCCACCTCCTTTATTTAACCCCATGACGTCATATTTGGGTGGACCTATGAAAGATCAGTTTCCTCAAAGTGGAAGAACCCAACCCCAGGAGAATCAATCCACTCCCCCCAATTCATCAGAGAATTCAACAAGAAAGGTAATCAATTCTACATTTTTTTCCTGTCCTTTTACCATTTCACACTTTTCCCAACTGAACTAGATGGGGTGATCAATTTTTTAAGGTGGGATAAAAGGGGCGCTAGAATTTTTATTTAAATAGGCTCAACACAGCCCGGGGCAAATTCGAATTGCTCAATCTCGATTCCATCTCTCCAGGGAGAATCTAGTTACACCGCCAATTGCTTCAGATTTGGCCTTTTTTCATTATTTCAGGAAATAATCTAGTAGAAAATTGTTCAATTGTTTTTATTGAAAATTCGATTTATTTTGAAAAATTCGATTCATGTTCAGATATATCGTCATTGCCTTTCCGACTTTGAATATATGCCTGCAAAGTTGCCATAGTAATAATTTAATAGTCATGTGTTTTGTGATAATTTTTTTCCCATATTTCAAATATTTCAAGCTGTTTTGTCTGACAACTTGACTGTGTGTGTAGTATTCGAGGCGATTCGACATCAACCTCGTCTGTTGTCATATTGACAATTTTCCCTAAGGCATTGTTGAAAGACCTCAAGGTTGCATTGACCGAATGGTAATCTATGTAATACCCCTCATGAAAGTGTTGAAAGAAAAACACTTGATTTGGGTAAAGCTATCTTCTATGTTATGTGACTATTCCTGTTGGCACGACAACTGATTTCAAAGAGCTAAATCTTCTATACCAACTTTGGCACAGATGGAAGCAAATGAGGATAATTTTTCCCGATCGCTGTGAAACCTGGATCTACCAGTTTGATGGCGAAAAGAGAATTTAATCTAGGTAGTGGCATCCAATGGGAATATCTGGGTCTGTCAAGTTGAAAGCTTAAAGATACGTCTCGGAAAACTACACAGTCACGTTTGATTTCATCATGACACATTCATCGAGTACTGTCAGGACACTATGGTGCGAATTTCGAAGGAAAACACTTTCATAGCTTCCTTATAGTCCACACCTAGCTCCCTCACACTTTCCGCTTCGGTTTCCAAAACTTGGAGAACACCTTAAAGGCACTCGATTTACGTCTTCATGGTGTCAGAGTTAGCCCCAATATTCCATCCAAAGCCAATTTACAGGTGGAAATATTGGTTACAAAATGTATAGGCAACAATGTGGAAAAGTGAATGCTACCACTTGGTAAATAAATAAGCTATGAACTTTGTCTGAGAACGTTTTGAGTCACCCATGCACTTGTTGAAAATTGGTAAGGTTGCTCATGATGGAACATAATTGGCTGCGCCGTTACCAAGTTCATCACTTAAAGTGCATTATAATTTAGAGGAGCGAAATTTCTCACTTGCCAGGGCTCAATAAAGATATTTTACCCAAGGTGAGCAGTTGAATTTTTATTATGTGCGCAGCTGTTTACCAAAACCATCGAAAACGCTGGTTTCATTTTTTCTCTCTCTCTCTCCAAAGTAGACTACTCTTAAACGCGAAACTTCAGATTTCGGAGAGGATACGACATGAGGATGAATTCGATACATCCTTGTTTTCTCCATATGTGTTGTTTGGACGTGTTTTTTTGCATATGTATCCTCCCAACTGGAGCTCGAATAGGCAAAAGATGAAGTCGAGAAGACGAAGGGGAAGCAGGAAGAGGGTGAAAATACTCCATGGGCGTGAGATTTACCTGACGCCATATGTTGGGCCTTGTGCCTCCTCTTAATGTGATGGATCGTGCAAACAAGCTCCCATCTGTCTTGCTCTCCCTCTCTCTCTCTCTCTACTTGCATTCCACACTTCTGCTCTAACACTACCGAATTTTGAGCAGTGCTCAAGTTGCGGGGGTAGGTAAGGGATGTAAAACAGCTCTCAGCACGCTATTGAAGTGTAAATATTGCCCCTTCTCGCAGCTATGAGGAGACAGGTTGTTCAAGGTGGGTAGAGAGAGAGAGGGGGGGGGGAGAAAGAATCGTAACGAGATGGTGGTGGAGATTGGGGGGGGGGATTTTCATCGAGTTTTGCCGGGGGAATGAAGTCATTTTTGTGTGTGTGTGTGCGTGTGTGCGCTAACTTCTTCAGGGAAGTCCATATGTTACCATCCCTCCTACCCACCTGGTTGAGCAGACGGATAGAGTGTCCCAAGAGTCGAATTTTACGAGCCATATGACTGATGTGCTTGCGTGCTAATTTCAACTTGCATATGGCTCCAAAATAATCTTACCTCTTTTCAGATTAATTATCATTAAATTAATAGCTATAATGCCCTCATATATANAAAAATATTCACTTTAGGGAAGATAAAAATGAGAAATAAACGCCAGTGAAATAAAAATCAAACGTATAATTCGTTTCATTGAATAGTTGAGCGTTTTTAAAATGAGAGACTTACCTCCACGTGGTGCAACCTGGGCAACGTATACTCATACGGCAAAAAGTCAATCAACTGACAGTTGACTTCTGACTTCAAAATGCCATCACCCCACTGTATGTCATATTGCCCAACTTACACAGTACTCATCTTACCTTTTCTCTACCCTTGTGCCTCCTCTTTTATGTGCCTTCATATAATAGTAGCCGCATATTTATATTTCAAATTACAGTACTCACAAGTTATGAAAACATTGCACTCAGGTGTAGAGTGAGATAGAATTCGTTTTGATTAAATCAAATCTACGTTTAATATGTATATTATGCCGGAATAGTGACATTAGTGGGAAGACTAGACCAGTGTTTATGAACATTCACAATCCAAGTGTTTGGACATTCAAGTTGCATGCACATTTATGTACAATTAATTGCCGAATACCTTTTATTCTGATCCAACCCTTATGCAAACCAAAGTCTGGACCTTTACTATTGATAAATTTAGGGAAAAAGCATATAATGAAACATGGAAGAGCAAATCGGTTCTGAACCAAAGTTAACAGACTCGTTTCGTGATATTTTAGATAAAATGGAAAACACATCGCTCTGAAAATTTGAAAATAAATACTAAACATTGAGATGAAGGGTCCAAAACATGCAGTGGTTATTTTTCATAAATTGGCTAAATATACTAACACACAGTTTTACATACCTACCACGGATTCAAAATAGACATATAAATGTTCTTACTAATTAGGAAAAAATTCATTTCTTAACAGAAGCTAATAATGTTTGAAAATGTATATTTGACGTGATATAGGATCCTGAAAAATGAATTAGAATTTACCAGCAAAATATAGGTAGTAATATTTGGAGTTGGCATGTTTATCTGACTTTATAACAGCAAGAAGAGGGAAAAATGAAATCCTTGTGTATCTCGTGGAATAGATTTTAGGCTAATTTACAGTGTTTGGTTAGAATAACATAAATCAAAATATTATATAAAATTTGAGTGTAAAACGACTTCATTTTAAGATATATCATATCTTATAATATATCATAAATTTTTTTGAAAAGAAATAATTTAAATTAAAAGGTTTCTTTATAAGTAATATGAGTGTCGTCAAATGTCTCCTATAAATTAGTCGTTACAATTCCAAGGTCAGGTTATTTTATGCGCTTATCTGATTGCTTCGTAGCAGATGTCGTTGAACGGATCGCAGTCGTCATTTCTTCTAAAATATTTAAATAATGATGCAAAAACTCCAGAAATGGTCCTTGTTAAAACAATTAGTACGTTTGGAAAAAGGTTTAGTATAATTATTGATAGTCGTTTAGAATATTACTTGCATTGCTTAATTCTTCCAGATGATGAAATATTTTCACCCAAAAACGTACAGGTACGAGTCATTCTAGATCAAATGAACGAATGTAAAGATGGACCTGAAATTGTTATTGAAACACTAAGCAGAACTGTAGAGGCCTATTCTTCCACGAGTCGCAGCATTACAATTAATGCTCTCAAGCTGTGGGATATCTGTGTATTAGAGTCACCCCATCCTCTTGCCACCTTTTCATCTCATTCTAGACCCCTTCAAATTCTTGTCGACTTGGTTCTGCCCCCACGATCTGCCTCCGTTTACACTGACGTTAAGATATATATCCTCGAAATAATTCAGGTAGGAGGAGTTGCTATTATTGCACAAATAGTTGTTCCAAGTCAATTTTGTATTCGATTCCTTTTTTAGCACTGGGCACAAAACGTTACAGGCCATTATGAGAAATCGGTATTTAACGACGTATACAAAAAGCTTAGATTGTGTAATTTAATATTTCCAAAACCGGTAAGTTCATAATTTAATATTTTTTGACTTCATAATTAGAGAGATGTCAAGGAAGTTCCAGCTTCTGGAGCTTTAGAATCTGATATGAAAGCCAGATTTGATTTACTTTCACAAAACACGGAAGAATTGATTAAACGATACGACAGACTCACCAGGTCTATGTTGGAAGATGATTTAGATGAAAAGCATGCGGTAAGTACTGTAAGTAAAAGTTAATCTAACCTATATCTATTACAGATTAGTGTCGACGAACAGTATAGGTTATGTAATGCAAATTTAATTTACGTTATACGTCTCACTGACACAAATACGAGCGCAAAAGAATACGATAATACAATGAACGTTGTCGGGAAAGCTGTGCTAAAAATGGAGGTTGCCAATCAGCGTCTTAAAGCTTTTCAAAAGGCAATCGAGAAAGCTGTAAGTCCTTATTCATCCTCAGTTAGTATCATTTTGATTATAAAGACACAATACAGAGACGGATGGAGGATCTCTGACCCTTAAGACCACGTTTATTTTGTTCCTAAGAATGCACATGAGCAGACTAATTTAAGAGGTTTGGTTTAGAAGACCACTAGATGCAGAGATGAAATGAGTAATAATGGAGTGGTCTTGAGAATATTGCAATTCGATGAATTGTAGCCGAAAGGAAGGTAATTGGATCACCGCAAATACTAACATAGGTGCTTGGTACTTTAGTATCTAACAAAAGAGTTGCCTTAGTGTGTTCCCGACAAAAGTCGGTGATTGGAATCGGAATAAGAGGTAAGGCATGAATGGGTGGAAGCATTTTGAATGTAGCCAGAGTAAGAAAACGTTAGTGGTGTTGCATTACTTAAAGGTTCGGGCAAATGGAAGATGATTTAGAAATTTGAAATGAGAGTGCTATGGTTCTGGTGTTTAATAGACTAATCTATAAGTGAGCACTGATGTGAGCCCTCCAATTGCTCCATGTTCTAGTTATCGACAAGCTGTTAGACAACAAGAAATGGTCAAGCATTTACAGCTCCTGACAACCTTCCTCTCTGTAGGCTAACATTATTGTCTCTTGCATCTCTTGAGAAAATACTCTCGATAAAACCATAACCCTTAAATACCAAATGACCAAAATGGTCATGTCAAGGTGGATTAGTTGAATAAATTCGTTCAAGTAAAAGAGATTTAAAAGAACCGGGAATTGGAAGGTGGGAGATGAATTAGCTTATGTTTTTCAGATGTAGACAAATGCGTTAAAAGCTGGTTCTAAGTCCATGACTTTATGTTGATAGTCAAAAATTACTGCATAAGAGACCCTTGTGAGTAGTTTAATATATGTTACCAATTATAGAAAATGTGTGTAAAGTAACACTGTGTAAAAAAGCTTAAAATGTGTAATTTATTATTTCCAAAACCGGTAAGTTCATAATTTAATAATTTTTGTTTTCATAATTAGAGAAGAGACGAGGCTGTTCCAGCTTCTGGAGCTTTAGATTCTGAAATGAAAGCCAGTTTTGATTTACTTTCCCAAATTACGGAAGAATTGATTAAACGAACCGTAAGACTCTCCAGGGCCATGTCGGCAAACGATTTAGATGAAAAGCATGCGGTAAGTACCGAGAGTAAATGTTAGGCTAACCAATACCTATTATAGGTCAGCGTCAACGAACAGTGTGAATTATGTTATGAGTATTCAAATTATGTTAAAAATCTCACTGACGCAAATAAGAGAGCAAAAGAATATGATAATACAATGAAAGTCGTCAATAAGGCCTTGAAGCAAATGGATGTTGCCAAACAGTGTCTTATAGATTTTCAAAATGCAATCGAGAAAGCTGTAAGTCCTTATTCATCCTCAGTTAGTATCATTTTGATTATAAAGGCACAATACAGAGACGGATGGAGGATCTCTGACCCTTAAGATCACGTTTATTTTGTTCCTAAGTATGCACAGGAGCAGACTATTTTAGGAGGTTTAGTTTAGAGAACCACTAGATGCAGAGATGAAATGAGTAGTAATGGAGTGGTCTTGAGAATATTGCAATCTGATGAATTGTTGATAATCTAAAATTACTGCAGAAGAGACCCTTATGAGTAGTTTAATGTATGTTACCAATTATATGGAATGTGTGAAAAATAACTCAGTGTAAAAATCTTCAATCCTAACATTTGATACAAGATTTTCATAAATCTAATTGTCAGGAGATTTCTAGGTTTTCTGTTGCTTGCATAAAATTTTGGTCTCCTCATTGGTTTCTTTAAACCTTAAGCTGCAGAATTTCTCTCCAGATCATTTCGCCTGCTCATTCGTTGGTCGAAGACGAAATGAATTGGATTTCT